TATTTTTTCTCTCCGTTGACGTTCCTTTTTCAACAAAGATTATTTTGCAACCATGTAAACCAGGGGTCCAAAGTTCACGTGCCCACGAAATCGATACGAGCACCTATTTTGTCTTGTGGGTCACATAGATTAGACACACGACTCTATTTCTGTCTCCGTGACTCACCACCGAAAGGACGACTTTGCTGATTTGTCTCTGCCTGGCAGTGCGTTTTTTGGTGGCCATCAGTACTGTTAGGTAGTTAAAGTCTAGTTTACTCCTCCAATTGGCATGTTCCCTTTGAGTCTCTCGAGTAGAACAAAATATAGGACAAGTTGGAAGTAAAATTAGGGGACGAGACTATAAAGGGTACCTTGCGGAGCAGAATAGAGGGCAGTGTGTGAGACGGACGGGAAGTAAAGAATGGACCGACACTCGGTTTTCCCTGTCTATTTACTATGTCATGTCACTAGGAGTACGACGTGGTTCTTCAGCTTGTGACCCCCCCCCCAGACAGACGCAGAGTTTCCGTGGAAACATTTCAGGTTGGTGTTGTTCTTCACTTCTTTTAGACACCAAAAAAATCCTCTACAAACTGTTTTACAGGACTTCTTTAAAGAGAGGCAAAGTGGATGACGTGGTACACCGTGTACAATAATACCAATTCAAGTCTAAATTTCATAATCTTGTATGACTTATAAGTTAACACTATTATAATAATGAATTATTATATTATTTTACATCTAATCCGCTAAGGTCAAAGGTTTTTTTTGTTGCTCAACTAACTCCATCTAAAACTGGCTTAAACTTAATGCTATTACAAAGTTGTTATAATCTCCCTTAACTACTAAAAATTAATATAAAGCGATAGGTTTAAATTTATATATAATTTACTAATACCCACCTCCTGACACCGATTTATTCCAGTCCATGCTATATTATGCCGATCTATATAAGACGTCGGGGAATGAAGTAATCTTTTCCCCATTAAGTTGTGTATAAATGGAAATTGTTTGTAACATTTAGGACAGCAAGGCCTGTAAACTCAACAGGTATAACAGCAGTGACCGACGGCAAGGAGTGGTCCAAACTAAAAGAACTGCTGTGCCAAACTCCAGCTCCAGGAAGTAGACAGACTACAGGTCGTCCCCACACCCCCCAAGGGCAAACACCTCCCCCGGTCATTCATGTGTTTCTGGGACCTCGCGACCTCGGTGTCAGGTGGTGGTGCGGCATTCAAGTCTCGGCCCAAGTCCTGGCGGGGCACCGGAGGTACCAGAGACGCTGCCTCTCCATGGACCTCCTGCCTCTCCCTTGTAGACAATGAGACATATCTCTGTGTGAAGTGGAGTCGTGTGGCGGTAGAAGCTATGTTGTGTCATTAGGGGCCTTGTGAAGTGTTGCAGGCCATTGTGAAGGCCAAGAAGTGTAGTTTGTTCACTTGCGCAATTTTCTTTGTCTTTATCACGTACAACATCCAATTGTGTAATCCTATACTTTTTTGTTACGAGGACTTGTACTAAGATGAGACATATACCAGTGATCGAGAACAAAGTATGGAAACTATACAAGGAAAAACCAAAAGTCTTAGAATTTTTCCCTGGAATAAGACGAAAAACTCCCAAAAGGGAAAAGGTCGTCATCACAAGTTTTCCAAATCACGTACATTTTACCAGGACGATTCCGATTTTAGGGAACAAAGGATTTTCCCCCTCAAAGAGGAGGGTGTGTGAGCACCGGAAGAATAACCGATCGGAGGTCGCTAAAATTCATCCGTTTAATTGAGTTGTAGCAGTACAATTGTTAATAAAACGAACGAACGATGTTTTCCTTTTCCATGAATCACTCACTGGTAACGTCCGGAGACAGTCGTTTGGTGGTTAGTGTTGGTAAGAAACTAGTTAGTGTCGTCACTATTGGCTCGATCGAGTCTAGCAAACGAGACAGTTGATTTAGGTCTTCAGGCACTGATTTTAGAAAGTAGGCCAACTTATAGCAAATTTTTTATGACTAGCATATCGCAATTTCAAGTTCTGGTACCTACCAAACGCCTGTTTTTTTTTTTTACGAGAAAAAGAAGTTAAGGACATAAAAAAGTATAGCGTTACAGTCAAAAAAAAGTTATAGCACCGTCGGGATAAACCATGCACTATCCGATTGCCCGCCCTGTAAGATTCGCCAACTGGTTAGTATAGTCTCGGCTTGGCGATTGGTTAGTCTCGTCTGACCCGAGACCAAACTCTGTCTCCCATTTCTCCACCGTCGCGGTGTCGAAAAACTTGTAATGTCGTCCTCTGTACAGGTGTCCTCTCAACTGATATACGGCAAAAAAAAGGTAAGTACCCTTGTGCCTTTGTAAACAACCGACCTATTGGTTCGAAAACACTTGTGCCAATAGAGTAATCAAAAGTCTCCGGACTGTCGAGTTCCCCTTGACACACCTCTCACTGACGTCGACAAGAGGAGCACTGGCTTCCTATAATCTCTATCACTTCATACAATAGAGAAGTATACGCCAAAAGATGAATCAAATTAGTCTGGATTCTTCTTCTAGGATCTACGTCGACTTCCCGAGAAACCTCGTCGAAAAGAGAGTCCCTAGACAAAACTCTATAAACAGACAACTACAATGTGTGTGTACCTCGACGACACTACGTTCCTCGGTAAAGTCTGAACTAGACTGGTAACTTCCAGTGTATAATAGATTTAGGGGGAAGAGGTACAGAGAAGATTAGGTTGTCACACAGGGGAAGAAGAGGTACAGGAGAAGATGAAGGTTGTACAAGGGGAGAAGAGGTACAGAGAAGATGAAAGTTGTACACAGGGGAGAAGATTACAGAGAAGATGTTGTTGTACACAGGGCAGAAGAAGTACAGAGAAGATGTAGTTGACAGGGGGAGAAAGAAGGTACAGAGAAGATGTAGTTGTACAGAGAAGAGGACAGAAAGATGAGGTTGTAACACAGGAGGAGAAGAGGTACAGAGAAGATGAAGTTGTACACAGGGGAGAAGAGGTACAGAGAAGATGAAGGTTGTACACAGGGTAGAGAAGAAGATACAGAGAAGATGTTGTTGTACACCAGGGGAGAAGAAGTACAGAGAAGATGTAGTTGTACAGGGTGAGAAGAAGTACAGAGAAGATGTAGTGTACACAGGGGAGAAGAGGTACAGAGAAGATGAAGTTGTACACAGGGGAGAAGAGGTACAAGGAAGATGAAGTTGTACACAGGGGAGAAGAGGTACAGAGAAGATTGTAGTTGTACACATGGGAGGAAGAGGTACAGAGGAAGATGAAGTTTGTACAAGGGAGAAGAGGTACAGAGAAGATGAAGTTTGGTACACAGGGGAGAAGAAGTAACAGAGAAGATTTGTAGTTGTACACAGGGGAGAAGAAGTACAAGAGAAGATGTAGTTGTACACAGGGGAGAAGAAGTACAGAGGAAGATGTAGTTGTGCAAGGGAGGAAGAGGTACAGAGAGAGTAGTTAGTACACATAGGGAGAAGAAGTACAGAGATGTAGTTGTACACAGGGAGAGAGGTACAGAGAAGATGTCGTTGTACACAGGGGAGAAGAAGTACAGAGGAAGATGTAGTTGTACACAGAGAAGAGGGTACAGAGAAAGATGAAGTTGTACACGGAGGAAGAGTACAGAGAGTATGAAAGTTGTACCACAGGGGAGAAGAGGTACAGAGAAGATGTAGTGTACACAGGGGAGGAAGAGGTACAGGAGAAAGATGTAGTTGTACACAGGGGAGAAGAGTACAGAGAAGATGTATTTTGTACACAGGGGAGAATGAGGTACACGAGGAAGATGATTGTATCACAGGGGAGAAGAGGTACAGAGGGATGTAGTTGTACACAGGGGAGAAGAAGTACAGAGAAGATGTAGTTGTACACAGGGAGAGGAAGTACAGAGAAAGGATGTAGTTGTCACACAGGGGAGACACTTTCTTGAGACTTTCAAAGTCCTTGTTTCTAAGAGAGAGAAAAA